CCTCCGGTCTCCCAGGCGTCGGATGCTAATATGTCTAGGAAAAGCGCTCCTTCCACCCCTCACCGATGTCACAGTTTTATCCACGCCAAGCGCCCGGTTAGGGACGCTGCGCGAGAGCTCCGAACCCTTAGCCACCGTCCATGGAAAGGGAAGCTGCGCGATGGTGCGGAGGGTGAGTGGACGGAGAGTGTCGGACGTATTTAAAATGCTCACCATTCGCGCTCTAGGCCCCCTGCCCACGAGCGAAGTACTACTATCCCCTATGCCACGCCTCAACTCCCCCCTCAAAGCCGCTCTCTCAACTCTTTGCCTGTCGCAAGTGACGAGAGCCCAGCCCGACGCTACTGTGCAGCTCGACACCGCGACGGTTATAGGTGTCCCCAACGTTAACTTCGCCACCTTCTTTGGCATTCCTTTCGCTCTGCCCCCGTGAGTCCTTATTCCTTGGCAGGACCTGTCCTCTAGAATGATGTTGCTCTAACGAGATGCTTCGCAGTGTTGGCGATCTCCGGCTTCAAATTCCCCGGCCGAATGCACCATACACGGGCACAATCAACGCGACCTCGCCAGGCACGCAGTGCTGGCAGAAGATGACTACGCCCCCAAAGCTCCCGCCTTCCGCTCCACCTGCTGTCGGCGTGTTCTTGCAGGAGATCACGACAACGAGCCCTCAAGTGCAGAGCGAAGATTGTGAGTGGTCGCTATTCTGGATGATGCGTAAGTGACTCCTCAACGTTGATGACACGGCCATCGTGCAGGCTTGAACTTGAACGTGATCATCCCTGTGGGGGCGAAGGAAGGAGACAACCTCCCTGTCGCTGCGGTGAGTTTTCTGACATACATTCCTAAATAAAAGTCTCTGACTGAGTATATGATGGGGCCGCAGTGGATCTTTGGAGGAGGAAACGAATTCGGATCGAATCTGCAGTGAGCAGTACAGCACACAAATGTTGCGCGTTGCTGACAGATCTTAGGGTGCCTGGCGAAAACGTCGTCAACCGGTCTGTGTTGATAGATAGGCCTATTATATTCGTATCCATGAACTATCGGTACGACTCCGCATCTGTGTCACTTGAAAGATCGTGTTGACGGAAATTGAACGTGCAGCCTCAACGGGTTTGGGTTCCTTGGAGGACGAGAGGTTCAGGAGGCGGGTGTCGGCAATCTAGGTCTTCACGATCGTGCGTACTGATAACTCGTCATGAATCCCCCCTATTGACGGCCTTGTTTGAAGAGCGCGAGGCTTTGCGCTGGATTCAGAAGTACATCCGGAAGTTCGGGGGTGACCCCACAAAGGTCACCATGTGTGTACTTTGTTCCCGTTTACCTGCACGCAATCTACTCACATCGCATCTTGTTTCCATATAGCTGGGGCGAGAGCGCGGGTGGAGAAGGTGTCGCCATGCAGATGCTCGCAAACGACGGCGACTCCGAAGGCCTCTTCCGAGGCGCATGGATGGAGTCTGGCTCCACAACGTTTACAGGCGACTTCGCTCAAGATCTGCAGCCCAACTTCGACACCATTGTTCAAAACACCGGATGTGCCAATCAGACGAACAAGCTCATGTGCTTGAGAAGTGTCGACGTCAACACGCTGGTGCAAGCAATTAACGACACGGAGGGTTTCTTGAGTTTCTCGGTGAGGATATGAGCTCGCTATGGGAACTATCGACGACCGACTAAGAATTTCACTCAGGCTCTCGCCTCTCCCTACTACGCCGCTGCACGTGCAGACGGAAAATTTGTCAAGAGGCCTCCTCAGAAACTCGTCCTTTCCGGGAGCGTCGCGAACGTCCCCTTCGTGCTCGGCTCAAACCAAGACGAAGGAACACTCTTCTCTGTCTCTTCCCTCAACCTCACGTGCGTGTCCATTCTCTCTGATTGTAACCACCCTCGCTCATCCGGCTCTCCGTTCTCAATCCACAGCACCGAGGCTCAGGCGCAGGCGTACATCCACGGCAACTACTACTCCAAAATCCCTCAGGCGAAGATGGACGAGCTCTTCAAGCTCTACCCCGCCGACCCCGCCGCGGGCTCGCCGTTCGGGACGGGCGACAACTTCACGATCGCGCCCGTATACAAACAGATCTCTGCCTTCCAAGGTGATCTCCTCGTCAACAGCCCGCGCCGGTTCCTGCTCAACCAGCGTGGGGAGAAGCAGGACGCGTGGACGTTTTGTGAGCGCACTTTCGCGATCTCTGAGCATGCAGGCGCTGATCTGGGCACCAAGTGAGCGAGCGCAGCAAGATCCCTGGTCTCGGCGCGGCGAGTACCACTCGTGCTCTACACGCGGAGCCACACATGCTGACTTCGGAATGGTTTGCACGACGCAGGCGCACACTACGGAGGTGCCGATCATTTACGCCGGCGGCGACCTCACGGATTATCTGATCCGTTTCGTCAATGACCTCGACCCGAACGGGACGGACAACAGCAGCATGGTGTACTGGCCGAAGTGGACGAAGCACGAGCGGAGCTCGCTCACACTTCTCGATGGGAATGTGACGCTGGAGGTGCGGCTGGACAGGTTCAGGGAAGAGGCGATCGAGCTCGTGACCGAGTTGAGTTTCACGCAGAATGCGTGAGCACGATCTCGTACGTCTTGACAAACTTCTCGGTCCATTCTTGACGGCTGACGAGCCTTTTCCACGACGCGCACAGGCAAAGCTGTCTTCGGAGGACAACAATGGAGAGGCAAAGAACGATGCGCCGAGGTTGCTTTTCTACACCTTTCTACGCATTTTCGTCCACCAGACAAAGGCCTGTACAGAGTACATTTTACTTAGCCGGTGTACCATACGGGCGCCCACTGCAATGCTTTGTAGAAGGGTATGAATGACGAGAAAACGACTATGTTTTGCTAGAACCTCGGCTTGCCCGTCCAAGGTTGACGGGCAAAACAAATAAAAGTACTCCTTGACGAGAGTGGGATTCGAACCCACGCCCTTTCGGACCAGATCCTTAGTCTGGCGCCTTAGACCGCTCGGCCATCTCGCCATATAGATGCAGGGATTTGAAAGTATATATAGCCGCTTATTCTCAGCAAGCGAAGAACGCTGGCTGCAAGTACTGACAGTACTTGCCGCACACTGGTCGCTGCTCGACACCACCACGCCCCGCCCGCCGTCTCCCCTGATGGGCAAGGGTACACCAGGCAACCAAGTTCTGTGTTTTGGCACGAGTTCGCACGGAAGAACGAGCGAAGGTGTAACACGACAAGTAAAACGCCTACGACACGCCTCTTCCCTGCGACATTGCAGCAAATCATTGGTCGACTCTGTAACAGATTTCGACGGCGTCCGACGGGCAGTGGACGGATCGCGCTCGACGTGGACATGTAGGCGGAGGGCGCCTCGCAGCGTCTGCGCGACCTGACGCCAACTTCGCGACCGCAGATGGCGAAGACCACTTCAACGGCGACTTACTCCCGCTCCCCGAGGGGAGACCCACTTCGCTGTGTATTCCCATCTGGCCTCGCCGAGAGCGAGGCCGTCCCGGTGCGTCATGTTCTTCCGGGTCGCCCGCGAGCTCTTGTTATCCCTACTGCATTGTCACCACCGCGTCGCGGGCGAGGCGCTCTTCGAGGTGCCCAAGACGCTGACGATGGTGCCGAACGAGGGCGGCTGGTGTGGACTTTGAGTGCTCGCTCGTGTATAACATCCGCGCCTGAGCGCGAACGCTCCGCGTTACGTGCACCCCGTCAACGGCGAGATGTCTCCGTGGTGTGAGTTCTCGAGGTGGACACCGACGATGTACGCAGATACGCCCGCGCGAGGAAGGACGACCCCGACATGACGTCACCGCCTACGTGCAATACCGACCCCGAGTATCTACGCTTTGCGGAACGGCGGCATCGCCCCACGCCGCGTACCGTAAAAGAAGCAAGCGTGGACTTGCTGCGCCGTCTCCGCGCGAGCTCGAAGGCGACCTCTCTCCGCACCTCCGAACGTCCCTCGTCCCCCTCCCCGCGCCCGCGCTGCTGCAATGCTCCGCTGTGTCTGCTTCGCTTGGCCAGCGATCTTCGCCGTCCTCGCTCTCATCTCCTCAGCGTCCGCTGTGGCCCTCTCCCGCGTCCAGGTGAGTGCGCGCGAGTCTTCGTGTGCCAGTGATTCGACGTCCACTGATAAGCACTTGCTTGCGAAGCGCGATACGAGTGGAGTGTTCGCATGCGTCGACATCGACTGGGGTGGCGATTGCGCGACGATCCATACGCCGCTTAACCAGTGCACGCAGTTCGACGGGCAGTTCTCAAAGCAGGTTTCGAGTATGCGCAGCTTGGACGAGTGCGTGTGGTGCCACGGTGGGTATTTCCGGCTCACACTGCTACGAAGACATTCAAGACTGAATCATCTGCGACAGGGTACTCGTGGGTTTTTCTTCTCTTACGCCACAGCACCGCAGCGCTCACTATGAGGTGAAGACAGAGCGACTGCGACGACCCCTCGCTGTGGATGTTCGACTCGACTGGGCACAGCGACGGCGGGATCCCGGATGTTCCCGATAGCCAAGGAGGCCCGACGGTAGATCAGCTTGAGCTCGACTTCAACGACCAGATGACGGCGTTCGAGTGCTGGAATATTTGTTGAGGGGAAGAATGATACCTATTTGTAACACACATGTACCAGTATATGCTCCACTAGTAAGCCATTGTCGCCATTCAATGTGTCTTTTCAAGTCGATCAAAGCACAGAAGTCGGAGGCTTGGTGGCGTTGAGTTGGGAGCGACGAACGGATCCTGTTCACAGTGCCTGGACCCAGGACACCGCTCAAACCAATAACGGTGGCGGTTGGGGTCTCTTGTTTAGGTTACTCCGCACACTTGGTGTAGGTGCGGCACACGGTTTTACACAGGTGTTATGCTGGTTACCGCATACAAGGGCTCTCGCGTCAAGACGCGTCATCGCGGCGTCCGGCGAGTGGTGCAGTGACTAGTCTGCAGGAGTTCGTGAGGTCGAGCTATTTTTACAGTATATATATTAAGTATTGGGGCTGTAGCTCGTGGCCCAATGGTCTAGAAGTATGATACTTGCTTTGGGGGACACGTGCTTGTAGTCACGTGACCTGACTGCAAGGGGTCCCGGGTTCAATTCCCGGTTGGGCCCTTTTTTATTCATCGTCTTTGCCATGTTGCGCCTCTGTCTTTCGTCTGCCAAGCCGGGGATATCAAAGTAACTCTTCTCTTGTCAGAGCTGTTCCAACATGCTTTTGCAGCTGGAGCTATGGTGGCTGTACCGCCTGTGCCCGCAACCTCGCGCCCTCGCTCGTGGTTCGGATCTCATGGCGCGGAGAGGTGTCCGGACCTCCGCTCTGGGAATACCTCTCAGGCCATGGTCCCGGGTACAATTCCCGGTCGATGTTTTCCCCCTCTACTTGCACGATGCACCCTGCTTGACTGGGTCACTGTTCCCATGGCCATTTTTTCTTGTCAGTCCAAACGACAACGCTCGGACCAGATTGCAGAGCCATATGTTTCACGAAGGACCTACACTTGTCCATCTTCTCGCTGTATCTTTCGTCTGCGCTTTGAGTTCACCTCAGGACGATCCTGTGTAATATCTGCACGTAGATCGAGCATCGGCGGGCGTCACTTCGAGCATCTAACACAATGGGGCGTGCGGGATTCGAACGGGCGGACGAGGACCTCCTCCCTAAACTCTTCAGGTGTCAAAACCTGTCATTCGGACCCCACCGCGTCATCATTTTGGGGCATACAAGATGGCTAGACCACCCTCGACCCACTCGCGGCTTTCCCTCTCAACCCCCTCCCTACCAAGCCCTCGTCCTCATGTCGGACCAACCTGAACAGCGCACGCAATCACCTCAGCCCGAGGTATGTCACCGTTGTATTCCTTCCAGCACTCTTCTCATATGAAGTCATTCCTCTACATTCGCCGGTCTCGAAGCCTGCCCCAAAGTTGTCGGCAGACGAACCCCGCTCGATGCCGGTGTCCAACGTCGACGACCGCGACTATCGGGCATGTATGGAAGAACAAAGCCAACTTGAGCAGGAATTGAAGTCATTGATTGAAGCGGGGATGGAGCGCACAGGTCAGACGGTCGAGCAAGTCCTGTTTGACATCTTGGAGCAGTCAAAGCTTGACTTCATGGAGGAAGAAGCTGCCGGAGCATCGTGGACGGTGCGTGTCCGCGCGTATTTTCTGTCGTGCGCGTTTCCATCTGTGATACAGGGCCCTCATCGTGCGGATTGACGGGAGATGATCGTGAGCGCAGTGGTGCCGCCGAATCGTCCTTCGTGCGTCCGAAGAAGGCCGCAAAAAACAATGCTTCTCGCCACGTGTACATCAGCCCTGCCGTGCGTTCTTGTCGTCCCCGGGTGGTCTACTAGCCACTAGACCGATTATGTACAATAGCACCCCACCTTAGTCCCATTTCCCGACATAGTACACTGCGAAGTGCACGGTCCCGTTCGGGACAGGCGAGTGCCATCTTCAGCTCCCCGAAGACGTCGGTGGCCTCGCGCGGCGCACAGCTCACCCTGATGGCGACCAGGTCAGGCGAGGGGGCGGGACGGCGAGCGCGGCGCGGAGAGTGGGGGTGTATGCCGCTCGTCGGCAAGCGCGGCTGCTGAGGTCTGCGCAAGCACCGCGGGGAGAGCAGGCGGGGGTGGGACTCGCGGAGGGGTGTCAGCTGGCGTGGTCGCCCTAGCCGGGCCGTGGTCGCAGTGGTTTAGGACGACGCTTGGACCGAGTGTGGGGTCGAGCGCGCCGCCCGAGGAGACGTCCTGGACGTGCAGACGAGGGATAGAGGTGGGACGAAGGGACGGAGAAGAGAGCGCGCGGGCGGTGCCGGACGATGATCGTGTTCACGGAGTTGCATGACATGGTCAAACGCGCGGATTAGTGCGGCGGGGGAAAAGCGACGCGCAAAGGCGGAGGAGATCGCGGTGTGGGGCTCATGAACCACGTTTCGCCGCCTTGCTCCGGCCCTTGACTGGACCCAGTCAATCATGTTGTCTCGAAGAAAGGTGCGGCTGCCTGACGTTGGATCTGGGGATGGATCAACCCCATGAACGAATGGCTCGCGCGCAAGGAAAGAGGGCGACTGGATTGCGCATCACCGAGACTTCGACGGGCTCTTCCGTTTGGGAAAATAATAAAACAAGTAGACCGAGACGCGGAGGAAGGCCGCCTAGGACGATGGACCCACCTCAAGTTACATTACAACCTTACATCGGGCTACGCGGCTACACAGACGCCCCCTCCATCGTCGCACTCTCACCACGCAGTGTGCCCTCCGCAAACATGTATACTGGCAAGGCACGGGCTGTGAGCCAACGTCCACACACCAGGGCAAAGAGAGAAAGACGGAGACTCACTCGCTCCCGGTCACGAACGACGCCGCGTCGCTCGCGAGCCACACCGCGGCCCCGCGCAGCTCGTCCGGGCGTGCGATGCGCCCCATCGGGTTCCCGTTCACCGCCGCGGCGTGCAGCGTCGGGTTGTCGTCGAGCAGCGCCGTCAGCCTGTCGCGCCGCACGCTGCGTCAGCGGCCCGCAGAACGCAGCGAATAAAGGGACGGGACGCACGAAGTCTTGATCCACGCAGGGCTGATGCTGTTCACGCGGATGCGCTTCGGCGCGAGCTCGCACGCCATGCTGCGCGCGAGCTGCACTTGCCCCGCCTTTGAGGCTGTGTACGCGACCGTGCAGAACGCCGGCTTCGGGTCGCGCGCGCGGTGAGGCGAGGGTGAGCGGTGGGTGAACTGGCGCGAGAACCGCGGAGAGCGAGACGGGTGCGCACCTCGATCGCGACGCTGGCCGCGACGCTCGCGATGAAGATGATGCTGCCCCCGGTGCCGAAGCGCTCCATCTGCTGCCCGCACGCCTGAGCGGCGAAGAGCGTCCCCTTCAGGTTCACGTCGATTGTCTGGCGCGCGGGGGCAGGTGAACGAGCCGGCGGACGGCGCGCTGGGAGCGATACGCACCTTGTCGAACTCGGGCTGGGGGTGTGTGAGAGACGGAAAGAGCCCTGCGACGATCCCCGCGTTCGCGACGCAGATGTCGAGCCGGCCCTCGGCGTCCCCGATCGTCCCGGCGAGCGTCCACATCGCTTTCTGTGTGGGCCGCCCCGGGCCCGGCAGTGTGAGATCGCGGAGAGGCAGAGGCGGAGGCGGAGGCGGAGGCGGAGGGAAAAGGGGACAAGGGGGCACACCTGGTCCGTCACGTCCTGGCACACGTACTCGAGCCGGCCGAGCCCTCCGATGCGCGCGAGGTAATTCTGCACCGCGGCGAAGGTCGCGCTCGGCGCGGGCGCGAGGTCGACGCAGAAGACGACGCGCGCGCCGGCCTCGATGAGCGCCATGGAGATGTCGAGGCCGATCCCGCCGTTGGCGCCGGTGACGAGGGCGACGCGGTCGGTGAGCGCGAATTCGTACTTGAAGAGCGTCGCTTCAGGCTCTGGAGTCACGCCGGAAGGTGAGCAAAGGGTGGATAGGGGAGGGAGTGGATGCGCACTGATTGCTGAATCGGTCGACGCGGCGAGGGCGCGCGCGACGCCGACGGGGTGGTAGGGAGGGAGAGCGTCGGGCATGGTACGGCGGCAGGAGAGTGGGGGGCTTGAAAGGCTCTGCGATGTCAATATATCTGTCGCGGCGTGATGCAGCTCCGAATCGCGAAAGCCAACGAGAGACGCCCAGAGACTGCGCGAACTTCGAAGAGCAGCAGGAATTCCCAGGGTAACGAGCACAACGAATAGGTCCCGTCCGCCGGATCCTACCAGATCGTCCTGAAGCACATGGATCCTGCCGACTCCAGCATGGAACCTGTTGGCGAGCTCACTGCGGCCATCCAACCTATGCTTGGGAGCAGCCACGTGAGAGTCAAGACGGCATACTTACATAGGCACCATCCTCATGCATCCTCAATCTCGGCAGGGACCACCTCTAGTACTTCCGGGACCCCAATTGCTGTGTGCGAGCCCCTCCTTCCACACCTGCCGCCACCCAGATGCCACTGAGAGGCTGGCACCGGCGAGTGACACCGGGTGGACGAGTACACGCGAAGACGTCGAGTCTCGTAGTAAAAGCCGGCGCGTCCGCTGCGGTGTGCTCCGTCGTCGACGTTGAGCCACGGGACGCGCCGAGCCGGAATGTAAAGGCCCGTCAAAATCTCGAGGCGTCCGCATAGATGCAGTAGACATGTACACGCGCCGATTGCTTCGCCGTCTTGAAAACCGGAAGTCTCTGGAATTTCGTCGTCGAACTGGGGATTGGTGACCTCGGGGTTCTCCACTCTTCTTCAGGAAATCCGCAACCACTTCCAGGATGTGCGCCGCAGCGCGAGAGCGCGTAGAGAAGGAAAGTCGAGTGCGTAATGATCTAAGCCCAGTAAGAGACTAGCTCCAGCGAGTGCCGATGAGCTAGTAGCCGATAGTTGCGAGGTCCGTCGGACGGATCGTAGCCGTCAAGCTCGTCTCGGATCTGGGGACCAGGGACACACCCACTTGCAGGATCGATAGGCTTAAGTGATGTGTACACCGACATCGTGCAGGATGCCGAGAAGCGCGTGTCCGTGAGGTCGAGAGGGCGCTTCAAGGGACCAAGGATAGACCGGCTCAGGCGCGGAAGTTTGCATAAGATGATCGATCTTGAGCTCGTGGATGCCTGTCGTATGCTAAAGGACCTGAGAGACACCAGAGTATGGATCTGAAGTGAGGTCGGAGTCGTGCGTGGCACGTAGGCGGGAAGTACGTAGGGCAGGACCAGGCAGAGAATCGTGATCTAAGTCCACTTTTGAGGCTTCAAGATCACAATGGGTGCTTCGGGCTTAAGTTCCAGGGATGACGACCGCTCCTCAGTCTTCAAGTTGCGCATGCTGATGGGTGTAGAACCAGGTGCAGGTGACATCCGCTCGACCTTTGTGAGTTCTGGAACTGTTGGTGCTGAATAGACGGAGGACAGAAGCAAGCTGCAGCCAGCGTCGAACCAGAGAATAGTCACCAGTACGTGCCACGAGAGACAGGAATTGTAAGTTGTCGATTAAGTAGGTGAAAGTTCCACCATTGCACAGAGTCTACATCGTACAAAGTCAAATTGTCGTATGGGCGAGATGGCCGAGCGGTCTAAGGCGCCAGACTAAGGATCT